CCCAGCTCAGCCCAAGGCCAAGACGCCGAGGGGGGCTGTTTTCTGATGCGCAGGGGCCCTGGCCTTCGCCCCTCACCAGATAGCCGGATTCCAGGGCCGATCACGCCCCCGCGCAACAAAACACTCATGTGTGGTTTATTTAACACCATGTTATATTCTAGATGAGAAAACAATTTAAACATGTAAAATGTCAAAAGAAAGCATTAAGTGATTTGAGATTTCTTTTAATTTCAAAGAAAAATTTACTTTTACTTTGGAAGGAAAGTAGATTATGAGCCCTCCAAGTCCTGCAAACAGCAGATTTATCCCTCTCCAGCCTGCTCTCTAATGACACCAAGTTGTCTCCCTTTGTGTTTTGGGTTGCTTGTTTGTTTTAAGGAAGAGAGCATACATAACATCTCCAATTACTAAAAATGCATAACAATGGAAGCAAAGAAAATGATGCTCTGTGCCAGGAGCCGTCCCTCCTGGTGCCTCAGTGGCACGGTGTGAGTGCCCCTGCCCTGGGGCTCTGTTTCCATGCTGGCTGTGCCTGTGCCTGTGCCACAGCCCTTGGGTTCCTGGCAGCTCCTACTGCAGCTCCTGCAGAATGAGTCACCCAGAGCGTTGGATTTAAAGTTACCCTCTCCTCTGTGCTCTGGCACAATGCTGTACCTCACCCCATGGTAAGCCTCTCAGGGCTGCAGCACAGCTTCTGCTGTTGCCACCTTTACTGAACTTGCCCTAATGTTTAAAATGTGTTTGAGGAAAAAAGCTAATGCAGGAATATCTCTGTTTCTTACCCCAGTCTGGACTCAGGAAATCTGCCAGTTGCCTGGAATACTCATTTAATTGTAGATATACCTTTATCTCTAGTCTGCCTTATAACTACATGACAGGAAAATGCAAATCCTTCACTATGCTACAATTTAACAGCAGGACTCACTGACGCCTTACAATATTTATTAGATCTTTTATTTATTGTCAGTTGCCTCCTTTTAAGTATGGCATGGACACACACAGACACCTACATTGTATTTTACTTATATCAGTAGGTGTGGATCATTTTCCAAAAGTAGTAAAAAGGATTTTAAAAGGTGTCTGTCATCTGCAAAGCTTTTTATTATCCAGTGTCAGGCACTGGAAATTATGTACAAACTAAAGCAAATGGAACAAAAGTTAATTATCTAGTACGGCTATTGTTATAATGTAGAGGAGCCAGCCCCTATTGATTAATGAGTCAGTGTTATGTTTGCTCACAGGAATATTAATATCTTGTGCACAAGAGAAGTCATTAAAATGAGCAAGGAAGACCTTGACTTTAAACTTAAAGTGCACATTGCTCTAGTTATGTGAATCATTTTGTCAGGTATAGCATCATAGTCATAAATTATTGAAACACGTAGTTATTGTAAAGATAATTCACATAGCCTGTTTGAAATTAAACAAGTCGATACTCTTCCCATTATGTTCTTCACTGTTACAATTAGGAGACTTCAGGTGGACAAAAGAAGATTTAGGAGATAGGATAAGACTGGTGTGTGAGCCTTTGCCTCACCTAACCCCTCACAGCATGAGAGAACTGGATAGTGCTGTGTCCATACTGAGCTGATGGAGAGTGTGGGATGGGTCAAGAGAGAAATCCCATAAAGTGGTGGCTGAGCACTCCAGATGGCCCAACAATAATTAGCAAGTAGGTATTAAGTTATATTTCAGAATCCAGGTCGATCACATTCCCTCTTCAAATATTCCCAAGCCACCAAGATATGCACTGAAAAAACTACATTACTATTTTTTGAAAATGTATGTTATAGCATTATGAACATAATAACCATTAACTGGAAATACAACTGTACCTGCTTTTGCATCATGCTAAGACCTCAAGCTTAAAAATCAAAATGGATCCACAAAGTTGAGGTCCATGATTCATTTGCTAATGATATGTTACATTACTCTGACAGAGCAGAGGGACATTTAGCTGGGAATATATTTTATTGTATGCAATTTACATGCTATTATTAACAGCAAGCCAAAAGCACTCCTGGTATAAATGAGAATTTGGTGTCATGTAATTTAAAAAGAGAAGATATCAAAAGGGAATATAATTTATTTTTATTAATGTATAAGTAGAGCTAGGAAAAAAATTAAAACTAAAATATTGGAAATATTAAGCAGTATTTGGGGGATTTTTTTTTTTTTGTAGGTATGTTGTAAGCAGTTCCTGTTTCTGTAAAATGCAGGCATAAGTTTGAATCTACACACTGTGTTTCCTTAACTTTAATGCATTACTCACTTACTTCATGGTGAGCATATGTTGGGGTCTTGGCAGAAAGTATTGATCCATCCAGAATTAGAACCCCATCTTTGAAAAAATGGATCTGTGGGACCAAACCTGTATGAACTTTCCTGTGAGCCTCCACCAATCCCAGTGAGCACCAAACCTCCCTCTTTCATCAACATAACTCATTTCCACGACCAGCTGTTACCTTGTTTGCCTTGTTGTGACAGCAGAACAAGGGACTAATCTCCAGAAGTGGCTGATCAATAAGAAACTGTCCAAAGGAGAGGAACAGAAGCAGCCAGTGGTCTGGAAAACATAATCTACTTGAGAGGATTGAATGAGTGGTATAATTTAACCCAGAGAAAGTAACTAAGAAGGTGTAGCAGACTTCAACAAATATGCAAACATTTATGGGAAGAAAAGAGGAAATTATTGTGCTGTGTGTTCAACTTCATTACTGTGCTGTTCTCAAGGGTGGGCAGATCAAAGTGTAATCCATTTAAACTGTAGCAAGGAAGATGTCAATTAAGAATGCTTGGAGGTAGATTGCATGGTGAGGCCGAGGCGATTCATCCTCTGTTTCCTTTTGTGTTCCACTGTTTTAAAGCTTTTTCTTCATGCTGGTCCTGCAACAGAAGATGAGAACGGGTTGTAGGAGGAATATAGGCTGTCCAGAGAGTGCAAGGTGCAGGGAATTTGGCCTCTTCATCCACTTCCCTCTCTGTTCTGCCAACCTCTTTAGCAGGGCCTGAGGCAATGTACAACATTGCTCTTGCTGTGCCACGAGTCTGGATGTGGCTGACCCAGAGAGCCTTGCAGGATACAAGAATTCAGCAGGGAGACACACAGGGGAGAGCAGGAATGATTTTTTTAACTGGAACCTCAGCCAAATGTCAACAGAATTTCGGGTAAGGCAGCAAAGCTGCTTCTGGCCAAGAGGATACCTCTCAGTGCAAGAGAATTCCCAGATGCAAACACAGGGAAGATGAGAACATCTCAAAGTAAAAGTTACAGAAATCCTCTATAATGGAGCCTAAATCCAGAGTATTGTATTCCTTCTGTTCTGGATCATGCCAGCACGGAGAGCGGGTGCTTCATGCTGAGTCCTGGCTGTGTGACCAGGTGTGTGCACCCAGCACCCACGGGAATTCTGCTGCTCCTGGGCCTCAGAACAGGCACCAGGATGGGCTGGGCTGGCACAGAGTGCACTGAAGGAGACAGGAGTCTCGAGAGACAAAGTCTGCTCTTAATTAGTGTGGCCCACCTTACTGACCTCAATTTGTCCTATCATTTCCCTGGCTGTTGATGAGCTACTGTCCAAAGAATTGCAAAACAGATGTTTCAGTGTCATTCACAGTGCCATAAAAAATGACAGCATCTCAGAGGACACCTTTAATATTCTCAAACTATATTACAGACACAATTTTGGTAATCTGATAAATAAATATTTTGGGTTGAATTAAGTCTGGCTGTAGCATTTTTAGTCATAGGTGGGTTTTTGTTCTCACTCTGCTAACTTGCAAGGAGTAAAAGAAATCAAAACAGATCTAATAGTTCCAATTAAGCATCTTAATTTTTTACATTTAAAAAAAAAATCTATCACATTTGCACTGAAATGTTTTAAGGTTAATAGATTACCTCTGAATCCCAAGGAAATCAAGCTTCTTGTGCCTGCCTGTCATTTACTGGAGTGGTTACTTATCTGTCAATATTTCTTGCTTTTTTTTCCAAGTCCCAGGCCTACTTGATCTTGTCCATTTGGCACTGCTGGAGGAATAACAAGTTTCTTCCCATCATGCATCTTTCTGGGATACATCATGACAGAGAAATCTCAAAGCCCAGGTCAATTATAACAGAAGATGTGTAGCACCTCTGCCCCCACTGCGTCTTCTGGGGATCCACTTGGCAAAATGATATAAAACTATTTTTGAAGACTTCCCATGATCTGGCACTACTTAGAACTAAGTTACTGGCACAATGTAAGGAGATATGCAAACGCAGCTCAGCTGCTCTGCCCCTGTTTGCCAAGGAGCCAACCAACATCACGTGTGAGGAGGGGCTGAGGCTGGCAGAGCCCTCACTGAAAGGTAATTACTTTTTAATTAGAATTCATTGAATAAGAGATAGATACCTTCCATACTTTCTCCCACTGATGATTTTAATATTCCTCTGTCAGGTATTATGAGGCAGTAGCTGACAGTGAGTTACATGAAGTAATCCTGTAGCTGGTAGCAACTTGCATAAAGTAACCAACTAAACCATTTGTCTTGGGTAAAATATGGTCCCTGTCCTCACTTTTTTCCATGGAGCTTGTCACTGGCGTGTTGATGTAGTGTTTGTTTACTCTCATTCCTGCAGGAGGAAATATCATAGTTCATGTATCAAATTACTGTAACTTACTGGAGCATTTCTATTTAAAAAATGTATCATGATATATTCTCATAATGCCATTGATGTATTTTCAGGACTTCTAATTTTTACAAGTATATAATCTGAATATCATTTATCGAAGTGTGCAGTTGTAAAATCTGTGGTAATATCTGATCTCATTATAAAAATCAGCACCTAAGAATGGACTAGAGTAACTAAATCTGAAGCTGACTGGATATTTGTGATATTTTGATAGAAATAAGAAAGAATTTCAGGTTTTTTTCTTTTTTGCTGCAGGGCCTCTAAACACAATCTGACATGTGATGTATTTTTGAAGTCAAAGTTAATAATTCTCTTTACATAAAAATAAATACCCCCTATTGAATACTCGCTCTAAAATTAGAATTGCATATTTCTAAGTAATATACCTAAGGAAAGTGATTTATCCTAATGCAATAATGGCATAGATTTACAAAGCTTGAGTGATACAATGTTTCTCGTTATGGTTGTAAAATATTTGTTGCCACTGTGGGATTTTCTAGATCATTATTTTAAAAAAGGAAAAACCTACTTTGACAGATGAACTGGGGCCATTCTGAGCAAATCACAGATACTTCATATAACAAGGCCTCCAAAGAGGGGAGCACAGACTTATTACTATGGCAACCCAGATCAAAACACTATTTTAGTGGAGAGTTTCCAGTTTTACAATGCAATGATGATTGTTTATAGTACTATTGAAACCAGATTCTGCAAAGGTTCAAGAAATGAGCTGACAAGAGGAAAATCATTATAGATAAACTGGGGATACGTGAATGACATATTGTGGAATCTGCTATTATTTGATCAAGTGATGAAGTTGTGGCACAAACATAGATAAATAATGGTACATGATACAGTCTGATGGACCCTATTCTGTTGGTTGTGTTTTATTGTGTATCTGGAAGATAATTACTGGTTCAGTGCTGCAAAACACAAAAGCAGATTTAATAATAGAAATTACTGAACTTTGAAAAAAACTATTAATTCTCCCTAGAATTTATAACATTTAAATTTTAAAATCCTTTAATTCCCAAGTCATTGAGTAACACCTGCATAATAACAAACATCACCTACAACTGGTGGTGGGGTGCTTTTTTCTGAAAGTCCATTATGGGCTGGAAAAATGCATGCTTAATCCTCTGTCAGCTAATCAGAGCTTAGAACTGTTAGTCCTACAGCAGTGAACCTCTTCAAACCTGCCTCATATCTGCAGCAGCAAAACAAGTTGATTTTTCCCCCTCGTGGCCGTAGCCTAGGAGCAGCTCTGGGCACCCTCCAGCTGCTTTCTGCCTTGTGTCTGCTGGCTCAGACAAGGGAGATGGCTGTCACCCTCCTTCCGTGCTGGAATGGTTTCAATGTAAGGGCCAGGGAGCCTGGGAACAGTGATCTGTTTTCTGCTTAGGGTTATTTCTCAACACAAGAGACATGGTGAGCTTACTTGTTCTGGCTTCTTTCCAAGTTCATGCCATCCTTCACCTCAAGATCTTCAGAAAATCATGATTACCCTCACCAAACTTCTTGCTAGCCCCACTTCCCATTATTGCTTTAATGCTCATAATCTTGAGCATTAATGCTCAAAATCTTGAGTTCACCTGTCCGTGTAACTGGGCAGCATGGAAAAGGCGTCCACTCCCACAGCATGGATAGAGAAGGCTTCTGGTGACTTCTTCATGGGCTACAGAAGCAGCTCCTGTGCAGGCAGAGAAGTTCACAGCCTGAGAAATAAAGCTGGAAAGAAGAAAGGGGAATGAAGACTGATCACAGCAAAATTTCTGTGCCTGTAACAGTTCTGATCATTCCTGAGCACGTCTCTGGCACAGGTGCTTCCCTCTGCAGGATGAAACTTGCTTCCTGCTTTGATGTTTCTCTCTGTGGGACTGTCTGAGGGGACAGGTCTGAGAACAGCAGGGCCCCAGGACCTCCTGGGATGTGTTCTTACCTCTCCATCCCCAGAATTGTTTTCTTATGGGATCGTCAAGGTGAAAGCGTCTGTGAGCTCAGGGCAGTTTTGTTCCCTGAAAGAAAGAAGAGGTTTACTTACAGGAGCCCTTAATCATTGGCTGAAAACACAAAGTGGATGAAATGTTTTCAGAAGGATGATTTACTGTAGTTTGTATATTATTGTGGATGGAGAGGCTTTAGCTCTTCATGGAGGTTTGAAGCAAAATTTTGCCTTACATTTGGTATTTCAGATGATGCAGGGAAAGCATTTTCTGGTGTAGTCATACTTGGACCAGAATACAAAACACATCCTTTAGTAAACTGTGAAGCTTTAAGTTGTTCAAATGACACTTACCCAGCAAATAATTTTGAACTTGGGAGCATTAGAGAGGTCATATTTTTACATGCCTGATCTGCTGCTGAGCATTCTTTTTTAGCCATTAAGAACACCCAGCCTGTTTTCAACACCAGATACTATGCCTCATCCCTGAATTATATTTTCCTGAGTTTATGATGACCCTTTCAAGGAAAATTAAGCCACTCCATTAACTCTGAGACCAGAGCACCCTTCAAAAATTTAATCCAGTAGAGCAGCTGATGGTGTTTATTGCTCTTCCCTAGTGCACTTGTAGTTTCTCTGTCGTGCAAGGAGTATTCAGACTTCATCATACAAGTATCAGGAGTGTCTCAGCTCCTGAGAGAGGCCACTGGCTCCACTCATGGAACAAATATAATCTAATATTGTTCCTGGAATACCGACTGAGTCACCACGTAAGTAAAAGGAAGCGGTGAGTGCTTTCCACTGACTCCAGTATGTTCATACACTCCAGTCTTTTCCATCTAACCTCACAAACATCTGTCCTCAGCCAAGAAACAGCAACAAGGATGTCAACAGCTGTTCTGTTCAGCCAAGTACAGTGCTGATGTTAAAGTTTTCCGAGATCACTGATGTCCTACATTATTAATCAAGGGCCTCAGAAATAATTCTGCTGACAGACTACTTATGAAATATGTCTCCTGACTTCAAAGTGTGGTCAGCTCCCTGTCATATAGCGTGGAGCACAGATGAAGGCTGCAGGGCTGAGATTCAACTGGTGAGAACTCTGTTAGTCACTTGGAGGTCTTAAGAAGCATCCAACAGAAATGGCTGAGGTAACCACAGGTCTCTCATTTTCCCTTGCAGTTTTTGGCAGAGTTAGCTTTATTCTGGAATGTCTCCACTAAGGCACATCTCCAGGATTCATGTAACAATAATGGCAAAGAACATTTCTTGCCTTTGTTCATCCTTGCTTCCCAGTACTAACCTCTGTTTATCCAGGTTACCTGGTTGCCCTGCATGGTGGATGCCCTGTGTGGCCAGTGGTAGACAACATCTGAATATAATCACTTGTTTCCTCAATATTTCTGATTGTGATTCCCACACTGCTCTAGAGAGAACACCAGAGAGATGGTTTCTATCTTCCTGTGACATTTCATGGTGACCAAGATAACCAAGACAGTAAACACAACAATCTCCTCATTTAATAAAGTGCTGTACACCAGCACAGACTCTTTTTTTGCCTTAGGCCCTATTCCTTTGAACACTTACTTAAATTCTCTTGGTCTTCAAGCTCTCTATCAGGTCATTGTCTGAGGCCTCTGGTGGATGTGGGATGGTGAAAACAACCTGAGACTGAATTTTTCAAAATCAGTTTAAAAATCTGAGAATATGAAGTGAGCACATTGTTTTGATATTGAATAGAAACAAACTTCAAGGGGAAAAAACCCCATCTAACACCCTAGAGATGACCATTGCGTGAAACCTCTCACAGACTGGGCAAAGCAGGAATGGAAAAATTTTGAGTATGAAAATAAGTCCAGGAGAGAGAAAGAACAACCTGCTGGCTCAGAAATTTCTCTGTTCTCCTCTTGGTCATTTTCTGCAGCTCAAGCTCTCAACAACTTTTATCAGTCAGAATTTAGCATTGTATCTCCAGTTCACAGAGAAAGTAAGACCTTTGTTAAACAGCAGCTTCCTGATAGAAAATGTCTCATAAATTTGAAATGCAGAATGGCTCCTATGTTTCAGAAAGCTGCCAAGTGAAGATGCCTTTGTGAGGTACAGCCGTGGCTCTGGGGAGGATTGTGTCCAAGGTAGTGCACAGAGCCAGGCTTGGGTGGGTTTCTGCAGTCCATCACTCTCATATATGTTAAGAAATAATTGCATAACCTCATCATCTCTATGCTTAGAAGTCAGCACAGCTTTATTCCTAACCAGATCCCCTGCCACAGGATAAATCCTCTCCATCTAGCTCATCTATCAGCTTTGTGTAAGTGCTCCATCCAGTTCTCTGTACTGTTTTTATCAACAAGCACTGTCGGGTTAAAAAGCGGATGACTTACCTCCCCAAGCGATCTGAAGAATTCAGCGCCACACAAACATGCTTAATGCTGGATAACCATGCACCTTCCCCAAGTGAATTTTTAATGGCTGGGGCTGCCTTGCGTAGTCTGCTGAGCAGAAGGAGCTGTGATTAAGCCCCACACTCCGTGATTTCCATCCAAAATTTTCCGCTCAGCGGTAACAAAATCTTATGTAGTTTTCACTAAACTCTCCTCCAATTTCCCACTGGCTTTTAGTATGTGCAGATAATTCAGAATAAAGCCCCTTGTCACAGTAATATGTACTCTAGCGTAGCACGGAGGAGCTGTTTCACCATGTAAAAGCCATATTGCCAAGCTGTATTATGCTTTACCTGTCACCATGCCAGGAAACATTTAACAAGGAAGGAAAACAAGGAGAGTGCATGTGTTGCCAGCTATTCAATATAGGCCATTTACTGTTAAACTGTGGAAAGGTGCTGGAGTTTAAATGCACCCTGGATTTCTTCTGATACTGGTAGCAAGAAGCTGAAAGGTTTTGCGCTGTTGACCCACAATTCAGTGCCGCTAATTTGGACCTGGACTGTCTCACTAGGTCTTTTTGGTTCACTGCTCTTTTCTGAGCCTCAAGGGGTTTTTAGTTTGTTTGCTTGTTTGTTTTGAAAAAGTTTATGCTTCAGAAAGAGAGCGTTTGGTGAAGTAACCACCTTCTGTTTCCGTGAGAAAGGGTGGCTGCTGCAGGGACAGGGCTCAGTCTCATGCAGAAAATAGGACAACCTCTGAGGTACAAGTGTCTTGCATTGCAATGCCTTCATCCCCGGCAGTCCAAAGCCCTGACGCGCCTCCTGGGGCTCCCCATGCAAAAAGTGGAGCCTTTGAGCAGTGCTAACACTCACCAGCAGAGGAAGCTGGAAAATAAGGGGTAACTTCTGCCTTTTGTGGGGAGCTGAAGTACCACCCTTCTGTTCTGCTCCCTGCTGCAGGCACTGAGTGTGCCATTCACGTGAAGGGCCAGTTTGGTGACAGCCATGGAGCTGGGACTGTAGGACATGTCCTTCCTTTAGCTAAGTGGGAAGAGCAGCAGCTGCAGTGTGCAGAGTCCCGGCATGCGGTAAATCAAACTTTGTCTTCCTTTCTAGAAAACGGGTTGCTTTTGGTGGAAAGAATCAGATGTGCAGCCCTGCTCCAGACAGCTTGTGGTTTGCAGGAGAGCAGAGGTCTGCCTGCAAGTTACAGCAGCAGAAGAGGAAACAGGATCACTCAGCAAGACCTGGTACAAAGAAACCCCCAAGAAGTCTTAGTAAGTAGCTGTGTAGTTAGGTTGTGACATTATGGGTATTTGTAGTTTGTATGACTCGAAGCTTTTATTGTTTTAATTGTTCAGTTTCTATATGGTTGATTTGGGCTGTTGTTGGAGCACTAGCAGCTAGTTACAGTGTGCTTTTGGAGTAAAAATTCAGCTCATGGATGCAGACTAGTGAAAGGTAGCTGATGGAGAGAGCCAGGCTTTGTCCTGAAGCAAGGAGTTGTGTGCCTCACTCCAGAATGTCCTGGAGTCTAGTTTGAGCACTGCACTGAAACCCAGAGAGACCAATGGCTGTTGCAAAAACGAGGTTGATGAGTGTTTTGCAACAACCTTGTTATAATGTGATCCACTGCGATCAGGTGTGTTATTCTGTCACTTGAGCACGTGTCACTGTAACACAGTTTGAATCCAGGGCACAGGGGGATTGAGGCGCCCTCCATTTACAGTTGTTTCCATGTAGGAACCTTGAGCTAAGGGAGGAAAACCCGAGCTAGGCAAGACATTATACTCTGAGCAAGACCCCGTGAGGACCTTGTAGTGCTTAAAATGTGGGAGAACATTGCAAGTGTGGCTACACAGCAACTCTGGCCCTCTGCAGAGGCTGCCCTGGGGACTGGGGGAGAACAAGTCGGCTCTGAGCCACAGGAGCAGAGAGGGAAGGTGGTGGGGCTGGGCTTGGTGCCTGTACCTGGGCTGTTCCTTGCCCTGCTGCCCCTGTAAGGATGGTGCAAGCCACAGAGCTGACTGGTGCTCCCATTCGCAAAGTGCATTGAAAAGACTGTTTCAAGGTGGAAACAAAAGGCCTAATTAGATGCAATCAGCAGCTCCTTGTCTCTTTCCTCTCCCCAAATGGTGCTGCCTCACTGACCCTGACAGTCATTTTATCAGTCCCCCCTTGACTGGCCTCGAAGTCTCCCCACCTGGTGCTCCAGTGCTAATTGGTGCAATTAGCCTCTCCCTCCCTGGGCTAATTGCTAAAGACTGTCTCTCCATTCTCATGGGGACCAGAAGAAACCTGTACTAGAGGGGGGTCTGCAGCCACAGAGACACCGAGGGGAAAGTGGGGAGCTGGGATGGGCTGGTTTGCTCTTCTCCATTCCTCTCACGTTCACTCACACAAAGCACATAACTCTTTCTCTGAACAACACATAACATTCCTCTGGTTCATACTACCAATAAAGTAACAGGCTCTGCAGCACCAGGGAGCCAGCCATAGGATCTCTGGGGCTCTGCGTGGCACTCAAGCACTTGGGCTGCTAATATGCACGAGGTAAAACTCCTTAGCTGTCTGCCCAAGGTCTTTGTAAGACACAGTTTATGCAAACACCTGTCTGGAGAATATTGTGGGAAGTTGCTCAGAGGCTTGTGGTAGTAGAAAAGTTAATATCCAGATTGTTTAAAAG